ATGGGGGCGGTCACATCCTCTCTCACAATAATGCTTGCATGCATGGAGTACTTTCAAATTCCGGGACCCCAACTTGCTCATAATGAAATATAACCAAGGTGCCTGAACAATTCAGATGATTAAATGATTGTTTCTACAGTTTTTCAAAGGCTCAATTAATGTAACAATTTGCACTGTACTGAATTTGATGTTTGAGTGATTGGGACTGTGACATGAATACCACTGTAAGAGGTACCTTCCTCCGCCTTCCTCACACTCACTCTCTCAAACACAAAACTCTCCATAACACTTGACATGAAATACAGTGCATATATGTCCGTACAGCAAGTCTGCAGTCATTTGCATTTAAGGGATTTAATGAAGCATGATTACAAAGTCTGTTTACACAACTAACATGTAAATGAGAGCAACAGTTTTCCAAATTTCAGTTTGTTCAATGTAAGTCTTAAAATCAGTTTACTTCTTAAGGAGCACACACAAAGGCAAAGGGGCCACGTTTCTCATAGACGCGTCTGCATGATCCCAAGTATAGACCAGACTACTGACTTTTCAGTAGTGTCTCACAAGTCTATTTTGGGTAGTTCACTGTGTTGTGAACAGCAGCCTCTATCCTGGATTATCCTTGGGGTCTTTGGGCCATGCTCATAATCATGAATGACTCCACCTGAAAGGAAGGTCAAAGGAAATATTGAATTCATTTTTATGAATTTATTTCAGCTTTATATTGATAGAAAATACAACAAATTACCTTTAAAAAGGTCTGAACTACAAGAGTTTTCTTCACCGTATGATTGTACATACAGTATAAACCGCATGCACATTTACATAAAGCTTATACTGCATGTCCAACACTAATCCTTTGATAATTACAGCTTCTGATGGATAATACCAACTTCACCCAGCTCTTTTGATGAAATGGAAAACCATTACAGGTTTGACACAAATAAAATGAAAGCTAGATAGAATGCTTGCTAACTGGCATATGAAATAGGACAGGAAGACAGCCACTGTCTGCTGCCATGCTACTGTACCATGGCTGCATGCCTGGGGCCTACAGGCTCAACTTACAGCCTGCCTTACTTACATGGGAATTAAACAATTCAAAAGGAAATGTTGACTTACAAATGAACAGCGAACGTGGGTTCCACTCTGCAGACGGCTGACGGGTGCTAGCGCCGCGGTTATGTAAAGCCACGTCAGGTGAAATGTCATGTGCTTGTTAAATGTGTGGGGTGCATACTGAATGTGGACTCATATGATTGGGACTGGGGTGGGAGGATACAGAACACATCATGGTTAAAGAAAAAGACGTGAGACAGTTTTCATAGTCATATTTCGTTAAAATCAGTGGGATTTTTTTTGTGCCGATTAACACTATAATGTTAATGTGATGCCGTGGGAAATCATAAATTTGTCACGATGGTTGTCAACGCTTTTCATGGGCTAAATAGAAATTGAATGACATTAAAGTTCTGTGTTTGTTATGACAGGAATAGTATTGATATTTGCTTCTGATATGCACTCGTCTGGAATACACACACGCACACAAGCAAGTAATGAATATTCCAAAACAAACATCTGCAACTGCAGAGGTTAACCAATAATTACACTCTTCATATGTTTACGGAAAGAATAGCTGAAAATTGAGCACAGAACATCATTATATATTTGGGTGACTTTGGTGATGAAACAATGACCTAGAGGTAATTAGTACAGATGTCTGCGGTGCGCTTGGCAAATTGCTTTTTGTATATGAATAAAAATGTACTGAGGCTCAGAGCAAATCAGGAATCTTCACTGTTTAACAAGTTTATACACCGCTACCTTGTTTCTGGTGCAGTTATACTTTTGGATGACAGTCAGAATCAGCAAAGCACATTGCTCTCCCTTCTTTTAAATGCTGGTTTCTTGGAATATGCAGCTGACCTTCTGGAATGCTACACCTTGGAAGAAGACCAAGGTGAGAGGAGTGGTTTATTTGTGAGTCTTCAATTTTGGTGAGATAAACAAAGCAGCATTGTGGCACAGATGAGACAGGCTTCACCAACAAACAATGATGCTAACAAAACCATGGTCCTGCCTGTATATTTGTTTGTGTTTTCACAGTACTGTCACATTTTCCATTTCTTTTAATGAGTTTAATGATGGCCCAATGTGAAGCTCGAGGTTTGTTATTTCCTTCGAGTTGGACTGATGTATGGTTTGACCTTTGATATCTGCCAGCCATGGCATTTACCACCCACATGACTGAGCGTCCTCCCTAAGCATCACTAGATGAACACCAAAAATTCTGTAATGAGCTGTATTATTCTTGAAAATGCCGTTTTTGCTGTTAATTATTCAATGATGGCCTTGTAAATGCAGGAACATATCCTAAAGTTATCCCTACAATAGCATGGGTGGAGATCACTGTTTAAAAGCACTGCTTAAGTAGGACTGGTAATCTTTCAATGTGTCTCTCTCATAAGAACACACTTAAGAACAAAACTGTGCACGAACACAAACAATTCTGAGGATATGAAAATGGAAGATTAGAAATATTTATGGTTAGTATCTCCTGTTTAAATATTTGACATTTCAAACATGTACTGTACAGTACTGACTGAACCACACTGATACATCACTGAACTCATTAAGGTGTGTATTCAATATTCTCCCAAAAGGCAGATATTACTGTACCTCCATGTGTGACAGCCAAATATGACTGTAGATGTGTTTATGTCTGCAGCACTCATTAGAAAGAGCACACTCTGAAGGTGTAGCCTTGGGCAGCCATTTGAATTTCTAGCTCAGATGATGTGATGCGTACTAGACCACCTGCAGCTATAGAAAACACAGCAATTCAAACAGAAGATGATGTTTATATGATGCTAAGAACTGTTTTTTTTGGTGTGGCTTTTTAATGATTATGTGATGCTTTTCAATGGAATTCTGTAACTTTTTTTTGTTTAGTTTTGATTTTGTTTCTTGCTTTTCTTCATCAGCTGACAAGAATTGTTATCTACATGGAAAAAGTATTTTAAAAATCCACTTTCCAGAACTGTCAATTTTAAGAGGTACTGAAATGATGTGAAAATCCATGAAATGAAGCCACTAAATCATATGGAAATACAAAAATAAATGCCTTTTATTTTTTATCATTACTTAACAAATTACCATTTTGTATGATGAAGGATCAATGCACAACTTTGTCAAAAAAAGGAATAAAAACAGTTTTAATTAAATGGTTAGTTTCTATTGGATTACTGGTGGTTATTTTCCTCAGAGTGTATACACTGTATTCTTTCCTTTGTGAAATGCGGTTCTAAAGTTAGTATTAATGTGGTATAATGTGCAAAAAGAAGTGTGAGATAAAGCAGCTGTCCTGCTTTTTCCAGTACATTGCCCTCTTGGTCAAGGAGAAAAAGCAGCCTGAACAGCATAATATACATTTTATTCAGGTGCATAGTCGTGGGTGGTACAGGATATAAAAGATAAAGTCTACAGAGGACAAACTATTGATCTGCAGGTTAGATCAATAGAATACAGCAGCAAGCTCATTTGGCTGTGAGGGTAAGTTTGTAACACTGGAAGAAGTCAGGTGGACAGTGGAAACTACTCAAGGCAGTACTTTATTTAGTGTATTTATTTACCGTCTTGATTTCTTCAAGAATAAACTACTACTCGCAACTGTTTAACCACACAATAAATGCGCTCGTGATCACTGATCAGGTTTGTTTTATTAAATGTCAGCTGTCTTCTTCAAACATGACAGGCTCATATAAAATTACCCTCAAATTGCTCTCCTACAGAGTTTTTATGCCCTTTTCGCTCTTAAAAGAATACTGGATAGCAGCACATTTCAGTAATAGTTACCACAAAGGCACAGTTCTTGCAGTTATTCTAAATGACTCTGCAGCCAACGAAGCCTAACTCATCATGGCGTTGGACCAATAAGCTTAATGTTAATCTCTTGCTAATACAAGCATGAAAAGCTTATGGTAAAAGTCAGGGTCTGTTATTGTGGATATACTGTACAGGGCTTTTTAAAGTGGAGACAGCAATCAGACTGGAGGTTTTTGAGATGTGGTATTACTGTATCAATGTATCAGTGCACAATCCATTCCTTGAGTTAAAATACAATCTGTCGTCTCTGAGGCAGCAACTGGTTTCAGTTCATTTGCATATAGAGTAAAAGTAACTTGTAGATCCTAGTAATTGGCTTAAAATAGGTAATCAATCACAGATCAAAATCAAGTTCATGTGTGCTCCTACATACTGTTAAAGAGGCTAAGTTATGCCACTCTTATGAGATTCTGTAAGTGTAAGAGCAGATTAATTTTAAAGATCTGCAGTTTATTTAACCAAAAATAAAATAAATAAGTTAACGTTCCCAATCTGGATGTTGAGAAGCCTCCCAAATAATATCTGTGGGGCCAACAAATGAGTTCAGATTTTATTTCCAACAAACTTTTACTTTTGTTTGTGACACACTACATACTGTCAGCTCTGCAGAGATAAAATACTACAAAGGAAATTACCCAAGAATAAAAAAAATGACTCTTGTCATGAGAAACCATATAGTAGGTAGTAATTTTAGGAAAACAAGACACAACAGGTTGGGGACCTCTAGCGAGATAAGCTAAGCATGCACGTCCTTGAAGATCAAACAAAGCTCTTTGGCTGATGATGAACAGTTCAAATTTTGGCGTTAGTGTTTTCCCCTACAGTTATGTCAGACTGAGCAACCACTTACCACCAGGCTGCCGTGACACCCACTGTGAGTGTCTCTGAGAGGCTGCAATTTTATGTAATCTAGAAAGATATATGTCATGACACATTTGTTACAGCCTTTAAACCAGCGCAATGAGTCTCACTGACATTTCCTTTTAAGATACTTTGTATTTTATGGGGACTTTCAATTGTCACCATGTAACTCAATTGTGGCATCCCATCCTTAGTATGAGTCAAGTATTTTCCCAACTATTCTATTCATTCAGGCCTAGTACACCTGTACTTACGGTCACTGCAGAACGGCCCCCCGTAGGTGGTCATGGTACAGTCACAGGAGAAGCCCTCCCAGAGCTGCAGACACACTCCCTGGTGGTGGCAGGAGTCCTCTGTGCAGGTGGTGCTGGGACCTGCATGGTGTTGACAGAACATTCACCAGCTGTCTTACCTCTATTTCATTTATGCATCTTCGCTACTATCCAAAGAATAAATGCATCAGAAAGGGACATTCAGCAAACTAACCAGAGCAACTTCATCTATGGAATTTAAAACAATGGAGCTTTTCCTGTTAAAGTCATGACTACCTACTTCATGACTTTTTAATACTTTTTGTTTGATTAAAACTCAACAAAAGCCGCTGATTTCTTGACTGCAGAGTGATATTATTACATTTGTGTGTATAATCAGAAATAATAAAATTGGCCAGTCATAATGGAGCATTCAACAATACTGTTTAATACCATGACAAATGTGGTGCAATTAGTTTTCAGTGAGCGCTCTCTGCCCTGGTATCAGATTGAAGGAACAATTCACAGGTGTGCGATAGTCCCTCACCTCCACAGCCACGCTCCACATCTCCCACCCTGTGGAGGGCATCTGCCAGCAGGTCAGGGAGTCTCCCATTCAAGTCTACAGATGCCAGGCAGCCCTTGTATCCTTCCCGGGATGCTATTAACCTGGGCAAGCTGCTGTACATGCTCTTCCCAACACCACCAATGTATAGCTCCCCTGTGAAGATTCAGGAGTTAGTTGGTTACGAAAAATGTCTCCCTCAATCACATAATTTGCCACAACCATTAAATGTTGGTGCATGTTGTAAAATACAGGCTAGCTACACAGATACCATAAAAACAGGAAAATGTAAATGAGTAAATTAACAAAAATGCCAAAGATGTGTGAAAATATAATACAAACATGAGCATATATATTCAGTATCCACTTTACTAGGTATGTTACTGTTCTGCCATAAAGTCTGCCTTTTGGATTTCTACCCAATATAAAGTTTTCTTCCAACACTAATTGTTGGTTAAGCTGTCAGAGAGTTGCAGGACAGTAAGTGTGTTTTAGATCAAATAAGAAAGAACCCCCACAACAAAAGGAGAAAAAGGTCTACCCGATAGATATGTCCAATTTTATCATTGAATACTGCAATCAACCCCTCTGAAAAATTAAGAACAACATGTTTTACACAAAACAGCAAGATAAATTTTTACAATAAACATGTTGGAATAGAAAATGGGAAATAAACACAAATGGTAAATGAAGGCGTTTGCACTTGAAGTAGTACTTTTGATTGTTCAGATGAGATACCTTTTAGATCCAGGTTGCGGGCCCCGTTGGTGTGTTGGGTGACAGTGCGGGAATCAATCTTAAGAATATGAACATTGTTGTTGTCACGGGAGATCAACACATTGTGCCACTGGTTGTCATTCAGTGGCTTGTCAGAGTTTCCCTTCATTAGAGACGGCCCATTTCCCAAGTCAAAAACATAATGAATGTACCTACAGGACAACACAGATGTATATATTCAAGATTTTTTTTAATCTAGTGTTATTTTGCCACATAGCATATGACATGTACACAGTGAATCAGTGTAAATATACATGGTTAGGCTTTAGGCCTAACACTATGAAATAAAATTTGATCAGCTCACACTGCATTGTCAAAAACTAAATCTTGTTTGAAACTAAATTAAGCAACATTCTTGACAAATCTGCTACACTTCACAGATCGAACCGAGTAGCCTGAAAACTATGACAGAAGTGTTGTCTGTTGTCAGAGAGAGCTTCTGCTGCAGGCTCCAGAGCCGAGGCCTCCTGCTGACTAATTACTGAGAGAAGGTCTGTGCAAGGTTTGACAGTGGGAAACTATAGTTGATATGTTTGTTGTTTTCTTGCTCTGTTTCAACAACCCCTCTCTCTTTTTGTAACAAAATTATTTACAATGAATAAAAGATGTGGAATATATTTGTGATTGAGTCAAGTCGCCAAATGTGCTTGAGTCGAGTGTGAGAATGCTAATGGTACAGTGGGAGCTATTGCCTTTTCAATCATGCTTCCACTCTCACTGCTTCTCTCCTTAAAAAGAATATACACATGATGGATAAAAAATTGGAATGATTCTGAAGTATTCTCTGTGCTGAAGACTGATGGACAGAAAATAAGAATCAGGATTAGGTAAATCTGAGGCCAAGAGAGAAGAAAAGAAATAATGTGCTTTAGTTTAGCAAGACACTGAAATAACATACTGCAAGATGAACATACTACAATGAAATTAGGTGTAAACAGCTTGTTCTTGTCCCAAATAACCCCCAGGGCTGTATGTAGGAAACTAGCTTAGATTGAACACCCCAGCACCTACCCTTTGACTAGCTCCACCATGATGAAGTCACTACCATCTCCAGAGTTGTAAAGCATCAGGCCGTCAGGACTGGTGGTCTTGAACTGGAGGAAAAGGTGCATGGAGGCATAGGCCTGCAAGGTAGAGAAGGCCAAGTAGCTGGCTTGGGTTAGAAAAGTTACAGGGTTGGCCACAATCTGCCTCATGCCAAATCGAGCATTTAGCTCGCAGTAGGAGATGTCTCCGTTCTTGCACTGGTCCAGATAGAGCATCCCATTGAAGGAGAGCGCCTGCAAATGGCCGATGAAATTGGAAGGCATCACAGAGATGAAACGCCGCTCAGTCATGATCCCTGTCTCGATGTTGTTGAACTCCAGGCGAGTGTGGGCGCCGGTCATGTGGCCTAATGAGCAAAACATGCATCTTAAATAGCAAATATCTCCCTGTATTTGTGCCTTTGTTACTATGGCGCCTTCATTCTTGCTGTACCTTCCACAGTCACGTTATCCACAGAGAGCAGCAAGTTCTTCCCACGCCGCACCACCTTCACTGTGTGCCACTCATTGTCATTCAGCTTCTCGCCTACCAGGAGTATCTCTGGTCCCTTGCCTAAGAGGAGGAAAGCATCAAGTGACAATCATACCACATCAGCTCAGTATGCTTTTTTCCATACAGAGCTCTCAACCTGAAAAGCAGTCTCTCCTCAGGGCTCATACACTCATTCATTTTCAAAATCACTCACACACGCAGCCGTTGACATTTCCCTGAAACCATGAGTTTACATCCCTCAAGAATAAATAAGACTAATAAATGAAAATAGTAGGTCTCATTTTAAGTGAACGTGTAAAATGAAATTGCCTTTTCTTTATGTGGTAATTTGATTGATATCTACTGGGAAAACATGTTAGGTATTGACTAGAGGCTTGGCTCAAACACATAGTATTAAGTTTCTGAATTTTTGCACTATCTTCTGCTGGTTTCAAAATAGGTCACAGCGAAGAAGCTTGCCACAGCAGCACCGTCATCCAGAATCAGTGCCAATGCAGCAGGCCGACACGCCAGTTCAAAGGAGTTCTGACATCGCTTGGGAAACTAATTGGCCATGCCTGAGCTGACTGTGCCTTTAGGGGTTTGCCTGTCTAATTGAGCTCAGGGTGCAGGAGAATTACAGGGGGATGTACAGAGGGCAATAAATGGAAAACATCAACGGGTTTCTGAACACTTCACTGTTTCGTCCTTGGGGAAATAAAACAGCAACTGGAGACTTTGTCCAGGGCTGCATATCAAGTGTCTTTACAGCACACCGCATGATACCACCATCCACCTGCTGAATATCGGCTGCACACAGCAGACAGATCAATCACACCAAATCCTGCTCCCTCTATATGGATTTACTTAGATAAGACAAATGTTTACCTTGTAAATCTCTCATGAAAACAGAGGCAGACAAACAAACAAGACTTGCTGTAGTGAAAGAGGAGATAGTGGAAAGCTGGGTGGTAGGGACTATTCATCTTATCTGTGCTTTTCAGAAGGGCACTTCCCTGTTACCTAATGTCAACATCTGAATCCAAACATCCTAATACCAAAAAAACAAGTGACAATTGTGTTTTATTTTACTGTACATTATATTAACTGTGCAAATTATGTTAGATTGTTGAAGATTTTAAGCAGGACTCCACTGATTTTACACATCAAAAGTCTTTTCACAGGTCTTGGTGGGGTGGGGGGCACAGCATACATGAAAAATGTATAAATCACTGCACTGAGTTTTACTTTGAGTTATGATTTTGACACTAGAGTCAATCATATCGATACAGAAAATAAGAATCCATCATGACAGCTCACATCCCGGTCACCTCAACATTCAAGGGTGGCTGTGGCTCAGGAGGTAGAGCAGGTCGTTTCCTAACTGAAGGATTAGCGGTTCGATTCCCGGCTTGTCCAGTGTCAAGGTGTCCTTGAGCAAGACACTAAACCCAATTGCTCCCGGTGATGTCACGGGTGTGTGAATGCGTGAGTGCGAATGGGTGAATGGCTGAATAATGTGTGAAAGTGCTTTGAGTGTGCTGTAAAAGCATAGAAAGGCACTATACAAGTATAAGACCAAGATGCAGTATTCATGCTGCTGTTATGTTCGTGGAAATCACTGTGCTACGTCAGAGAATTAATGTGACGAACATTGGCAAGTGTTTGCACATGGTTAAATAATAAAAAGAGGACAGTAACAAGAAATACATCCTGTTTGGCAAATTATTAAGTGTTAATAAACACCAGAAGCCAAATAATTATACATGTACCTCATAATTCGTGAAATACAAATCCTAACTCTCACACTAATAATATGGTACATTAACTGCTTTCAGCAATACAAAAGGATCTACTGTATATCAGTAATGCTGCTGACAGTGGTGATCTTGGCCTGTGGCTGGGTGCCAGATCTTCTGGTATCATTCACCCAAAGGCTTTTGTGGCTCCAGGGGGAGCAGAACAAAGTCTGAAAAAACGTGCCTCAGCTGAGGTCACTTGATTCACTAAGTTGCTTGTAAAGTTAGAAAGAAGTGACCTAGAGAGTCCAGCCCTCTTCTCTCCTCGAGGCTAAAGGCTCAAGGCTAAACTAGCCACCACAAGGATAAGGATAAGGATAATCACCTTTATTGGCCAAGTATGTTACACACAAGGAATTTGTTTCCGCTACAGAACCGATGGCAGCCATCTGCAGCATCAACTCAACCAATGGCTCTAACCATTGGGGGTAACTTGGGGGTTCAGTGTCTTGCCCAAGGACACTTCGACATGTGGACCCCCCCCCCCAAAACTGTCGCAGTCATGTTGCATTATGGGTAATGCGGATGCCAAGTTTTTACAAGGAAGGAGAATGGGTGAAATAAAGTAAACATGATATTCGACTCTGCTGCATCGATTATGTCATATAAGTCTGATTTGAAAATGGGGTCAATGAATCTCACTAAATAGAAATGAACACAATACATAGTAGAAAATATAAGTGAAGCGCAGGTTGTTATCAGAAATCGCTGTCTACGCTGCAGAGGCTCATAAAATGGTTTAACATAAAATCTATCTACATATTAGATGCCCTCTGAAATCTAAATTCCTTTCAAAGTACGCAGCAGCACAGATTGCTCCTCAGTTAAAATTAAAATGATTAATACTGTCAAACATGACAACGTCAAAGGGAAGCTATGTCTACACAGGTCAGCATTATGGATGAGCTGAGATGCTGGATACAGGACGTGTGTGTTAATAAAAGCATGTTACAGTGATTCTGTAAGTAACACCTCATTTTAAACAGTGGTGGAAACTACATTTAGTGATGTACTGTACTTAAGTACAATTTTGATGTATCTGTACTTTGAGTATTTTCATTTTATTAATTCATATTGTACTTTGACTTCAACACGTTTTAGAGACAAATATTGTACTTTTTACTCCACTACCTTTATTTTACAACTTTAGTTACTTTTTATAATTGGATTAATAAAAAAACTGTACAATTATAAGACCTCATTGATCTATGGTGGAAAATTCACAAGCTACCCAGCAGTAATTCAAATTAAATGCATGTAAGCTAGTTAAAACTAGCTCCCCCTTTACCAGCTGAAATATTAAATGTGATGGACACAGTGACACATCACAAATTATAATACAATAATATGATATACAGGAATGTGTCATTCTGGATAATGACTACTTGTACTTTTAGTACTTTAAATATGTTTTGATGCTCATACTTTTATACTTTTACATAAGTAAAATTTTGAATGTGGTACTTTTACTAGCAACAGAGTATTTTTACACTAGTGTAATGCTACTTTTATTTAAGTAAAGGATCAGAGTACTTCTTCCACCACTGATTGCAGAGAATTAATCAAGAGCAGCAACATTTGTTCTCACAACTGTTCAACTCCCATGGTAGATCCAGTTGTGGACAGCCTCCAAGCAGCTGCTGCAGACGGGCTGTCTTTGATTCCTTCAGAAATTGCCTGGAACCTTGCCTGATAAATGTGAATTCTCAATCCTGTAATCATGTTGTAAGCTAATCCTTTAAAGCAGTCAAAACAAATTAATAAGTAAAATTCACAATATATCTATGGTCAAATTGTCTCCCTAAAAACAATGCTCACTAATGATGATCAATTATAGCAAATAGTACTGCGGTTTAATAATTTGGTTCCATAGTCCATTATCAACCATAAAATCTATTAACAAGCCACCCATCTATCAGCAGTATTAAGCCTTTCAGAGGTCACTGGTGAAGCATGTATACAATATAAATCAATCAGGGCATGCGATTCCTTTTGCACACAAACACCAACAGTACATGATAATACTATGCCATCTGCTGGTGGAAAAGGCTCTTTGTTTGGCAGACATTTGAAGAGATAAAGGATTTACAACCTACCTAAAAAGACATGTTTAATATATTTTTGTTGCTTTTACACAGTTATTTCTCTGCATATTTGACTTTCTAATGAGAGCAATGAACCATTCAAAATGACTATAAGTCTCTCCTGCAGGTGAGTCATTGAACTGGTTTACACAGACGACACATGCACATCTCATTTCAGACTAATTAGCCGCACATACTACTCACCTTGGTCAGAGGAGAAAGGCGCAATCCGTTCAACATAATGAACTATTGTTTAGGCTCATTCATGTGTCACAGTGATTTATAATGAACTATTTCTCAGGCTTAGGCTCATAAAGGGATTTTGTTTTGTGCCCTTTAAATCTGCATCTTAGACCAATAGATTAAACATGAGACAATATTACAGTACAAACTATGGGTTGCTGATTTTCCTGTAGGATTTTCCCTTCATCTCGTGATCAGAAATACAATCTAATGTCTAATTAGATTTGTCCACTGACAAATGGAAAATTAAGATTTCACTTCAGAGACGCCAGGAATTATTCATACACGCCCTCGTGTATGAATAATTGTATGAAACAAGCTTTAAGCCAGCACTCGATTATAGCGGTAACTTTTACTCCTAAGCCTCTGCTGTACTAGATGATGTGTATCAGAGCACCATTCACCTCTCTACTAGCAGTTGCTTTTATTCGTCTCTCACACCACTGTAGTCTGATCCAAAACTTACATTGAATGCCGCTTCCTATCAGATGAGAGCAACAATCTACATTATAAATTCCAATATTGTCAAGCTACAAAAAAGTACATCACTCCTTCACAAAAGTACAGAATACCAGAAATCTATTCTTTTACTACGCTGGGAGATCTGCCTTTCAACCAATGAAATTATGTTCGCTCAATTACCCCATGGTTCATGAAAATGTATTTGATGGATGATCTTGTCATGTTCCTCAGCCTGAGCGTTGGTTTTTTTTTTTTTTTACATTTTATACAGTTTATTTAATCTGTATTATATATCCCATAACAATTCCTCTCCTAAAATTTAACCAATTTGATAACCGACAGCCTTGTCTCAGTGCTCATCTATTGACCAGATACTGTACCACACCAACCTTCAAATTCATCTCAGCGCTGTGACTGCAGTGTGTCCCAGAAACCAAATCTAGATTTCCTCCAAACTGAGAGTGAACACTTCTTTTGTGACTACAGCTAATTGCTGATTGTACTTGAGCTCTACCCACTTAGCAGCTATATCAGCAAATTAGTCACAGGCAAATGAATGACGGACTCATCGTTGGCACAACAGCAGAGTACTGCATGGCAGATTTAGCTGCATTTCATCCATCCATTATCTATAGCACTCATCCAAACGAGGGTTGTGGGGGGGCTGGAGCTGACACTGGGAGAGAGGTGGGGTACACCCTGGACAGGTCGCCAGTCTATCACAGGGCCTAGATGTATTTCATTACAACATTATTACACTGCAATAATAAGAAAACATGTCATTTAAATTGTAGCTACAATCTGGATTTCAAGAGCGCTGAGCAAAAGGATGCAATTATAATCAACCATATGAGACTTCTTGCCGCAGTGAAGTCTCGTTATTGTTCTTATCCTTGTAATGATGCTTATGAGCGGGGTAATAGCAAAAGCAAACAAGGAGAATTGAGGGGCAGAATAAATAAATAAAGTCTGTTCTATTTCATAACAGGATAGATAGAGCAAGAAGCATATGATTATACCACAGTGCATATTCTCTAAATTACAGTACAGTAAATAATCATAGGAGACACTTACTGAGATTACAGTCTATCCTGATACAATCTGGTGAGAGAGAGAGTGAGATGGTGAGATTAAAAGAAAAAAAACAGCACAAAAGAGGAGAATATTTCACATCCTTCAAGGTACATTCTGCAGACAGTTCAGTGCTTTTCAGAGCCCACCATCCGGGGACAGCCTCGAGAGTCTAAACCGCCACTTTCCTCCCTGTAGTGTGTACAACAATAGAAACAGGAAACATGAGTGAAAGGAGAACTTCAGCGTGTATGTGGCACTGCTGGAAGCACAACAGACCAGATCAAAGTTGGGATCAATAACAGCTGTATTGACCATAAAAGTAGAGGTGCAACATTCTTATTTCTTGCATCAGTATTGGCTCTGACACGGCTGCTTGCATTCAGCACTGGCAATTGAATAGGACTGCTTCAGGTACCATGAATGATAGTTGTACTAACGTGCTTTGGGGTGACTCAGCACACATGTGCCGCTGTGCCACAAATGGTCTGAAGCAGATAAAAAATTTAAAATGGAACCTGCACCTCATGTGGAGATAATACTGAATGGAACTGAGTAGCTACTGAACGACAGTTTAAAGTTACAGCAGTTACTGGAATTATGTGTGATAGATAGATGGATAGGCAGATAGGCATGCTTTGAATACAGTCTAGTAATATTAATAGACATTGTAATTGATTATTTTCAACAACATCACCGAAATCTGATTGATTAATGCTACTGAAATCTAGAGAGGAAGCCATGAATGTGTAATTTCTTAGGTTTAGGGGTATCATACTTGGAAATTTCATTGGTTTGGAACATTTTACATATTGGATCAATGAACCTCTACTGAAAAGACCAAACCTTGATCCGTCTTAACTGAAATGATGCAGTCTCCTGCTTGTTTTGCACGACTTGTGGTACTAAATTCACTCAATTAAATACAGAGGAAAAGGGCGATTTGCACAACCTCCAGCCACACTGAGCCTTACACCATGGAAAAAATGACCATAGCACAAATGTGATGTATTGCAAATTTTGTTTCCATGTCCACAGCAGCTAATAACTTCTAAATTCATCTGCACTATTCAAATTTCATGGGCATGTTCTGAATATTGAACCCAATTTATCCAACTGCACATTAATACACTGGTGTAACTCATGCAGCTGAGGAGTGCTCTCAAGTTGTCAACCATCACAGAGCAGTGGATACAGACAGCCAGAGACCAGAGTGTATGTCGACCACAGGTGTGTTTGTGTGTGTGTGTGTGTGTGTGTGTGTGTGTGTGTCCATCACCGGCACCCTCTGTCCAATGATGCAACTCTAAACTGGACAGGCCAGTAAATGAGAGGGGAGAAAACTATACTGGTCACACCTACAGGACGACCAATCTAAGTGGTAATATCTCTGTGTAATGATGCATCTGGTCTCTGACTGCCTTCTCCTTGAACTGCAGACAAGCCATTGAAGGGCTGAAAGTCGGTCAGGTGGGACCTGACCACTGGATGAACTGTTAGAGAGAGAAAGAGAGAAGAGAGAGAGGAGGGCTGCAGGGGGAACAGGAGATAGAAAAGACATGCACATCTACGGTTGCTGAAAAAGATGCATCGGTTTGCATTTAAAAAGATCATTTTTTTGTGTTCCTGAAGATTGCAGCCCTATTGATATGTCTCACTCAATTGTTCAGTGTTGTATTGTATCTCTCTCCCCATGTTTCCTGTCTGCCTCTATTCTGTAAGTTTTCAATTACAAGCAAAAGAAATAAATAAATTTGTTAAACCTCAAAAATACACCCAATGTATTTTAGTGAGGAAAACTGAATATGAACATACTATAAGAGTAATTAGTTATCTTTAAATTTGAAGTTTAAGGTGTGTATTCAGCTTGGGATTGAATCCTAATTAAATCATATACAGAGCCTGTTATGGCTCTAAACATTTTGATATTGAAAATTTGGTAGCCAGCACTCTACAGCCAACACCATCTAACATTTAGGTCTCAACAAGGCAACAACGCATTTAAATTTGGCTGACTCACTGGTACTAGCACTTGTAAAAAAAAAAAAAAAAAAAGAAAAGAAATATGAGACAAATGCGACTTACGAAGTGCCAAACAGCTCCTGGTCTGGTTCCTGTCAGAGAGTGGGTAATGATTGAACAGCCAGTTTGATCTATGGCTTGAACTCAGTTTATCTCAGCTTGTTAGTGAGCCTGGCTCACAGCATTGCAGATTGGTGTGCAGGCTTTTGACTTTACTCATGGTTGCTCATTTTTCCCTTTCCAGTTATTTGTTTTCCTAGTTTTGGCCCTACACACGTCAGCTACAGTACGTCACCCTGGTGACGTCTGACCTAATGTTATTGTGGGAAACGTTGTTACTATCAAGATCAATTTAGCACAGAGCACTTAAATCAAAGTTTTGGGGAAAGTCTTGTTCTCTTTCTCTGGTGGAGGGTTAGATGATAGGTTCAGTGCTCCTCTCCAGCTGCTACACTTGGAAGTTGCCTAACAGAAATAGAAGTGTAGACATGACGATTGGCTGTTTTACAGGGAGTGATGAATCGGACCCTGCAGTTACCAGACAACAAGAAAGTTATTCTACTGTGCTCTGTCATTAAGTAGCCCAACACTATCAAGTCTACATTGTAGATATTGTACAGCATAGATTAAACAATCAAGATTTAACACATGAATTAGTGAGCTTCAGAGGTTTTTTGGTACAATTTTTACCTGTTTTCTGCCATTTCCAGTCTTTGTGCTAGGCTAAGCTGACCTAACCTGCTGCCAACTATATCACAGGAGCTCAAACTACTCATTTACAGTCCTATCCAAAGATGAACCAATATTTAATTTTAATACATTTCTAAAATCCAGCTGAGATGATGAATGAAACCATTCCTTCAAGCGAATGTTCAAGTTTTAATTGGTCATATTTTTATCAGTTGGAATTTTACATGAAATGGCAGACAAACGGTATTTACGTTAGAAAGGGACGCTGGGAGTTGGCAGATTGTGCTGCTATGGGAAATAAGCTAATTCTGAGTCTAGTTGTGAAAACTGTGACATTTTATTTATTTTCCTGTATTAACACACCAAAGAGTATCTTACAAAAAGACGGTTGAAAAGAATAATCCTTACTCAATCATCCCCCAAATTCTAAGTCATGTTATCACATTTTAAATTCACTATTCATAATTTAATTCTCTAATTTCATGTTATTGACAGTAAATAAATTTGACACAACCACCTGAGGTCTCTGGAAGAATTGCAATAAATTGCAATTAGGAATGGGCTTATCTTTTTGAAGCAACTGTAGATATTGTGTATGAAGAAGGTTATGGGAGTGAGTATGAGACAACACTACGATGGTCCTAAGGGTCAAGTGGTATTACTGTATCTGCTTGCATTTGCTGCAGCAGCATTTACCCAGGTTCACAGTGAGTTTCACTCTGCCTCCATCCAGCTCCAAACGCAACGTGTCCGCTGACTCCTGAGAAGTGGTGGCCATCAGCAGCCCAAAGGCCCTCTGGGACATGAAGCGCAGGGACACATCCTCGGCCTCTGTGTGCAGTGCCCTTGGCAGCACCACCTTCAGATACATGCTACCATCGTAGCTCACCATGGTGGCCTCTGTGGATTTCAGGAACAGGAAGCAATAGCAGACAATGAACCCCAGTGGAGATAAAGACATGAAATTTAAACACACAAAATGGTTTTAATGTAATGAAACATGATTTCTGTTCGAGCTGATCTCAGGTATTCCATGATATAATTTCAGATTGCAGTTTTCATCCGTCGCACCAGATGGCAGAAAAAGCCTGGAGCATGTGAAGACAGCGGCGAGATTGCAGCAGCAGCAATCAAATTTCTGGGGATTTATACCCATCATTTTCCAATATTAGAGGGATTTTCATATATCCCTCATACTATTAGCTGCCAGTGGATGTGCGTAATTCGTCCTCTCTCTGAGAAAACCATCTGCATAGTAAATGCAGAGTGATTCAGGCCGAATCACAAAGCAGCACTGCATTTATAATGGCACACTCATAGTGCTGGCAACCTCATGATGCTGACATTTCATTAATGAATCACTGACTATACTGTAGGAAAACATTCTGATTTACTTTTGAATGGCTTAAATAAAAAACAACTAATTTTTCTATTGTCTGCTCATTGTCACCATGATTGCTTTGTGGATGTGGAAGCCTATTCTGTGCTGACAGCATGGTTCTCATTTGAATAGATATGACATTATACAGTAGAGTATGTAGATGATCATCCTGCAATTGCAAATGAAATTATTATTGTTGGGAATCATTAACATCTGGTAATGACTTTTCTTTGTATCTACATTTTTTTTCATCTGTGCAGGCACTTTTCAGCCACTACACAGTTAAGCTGATAAATAAAATACTGGCCAAAGTGTGTTAAAAGCTTTGCAGGAGCAATTTGGGATCACTCATCCTCCCCATCCACTACCATCCATCTCAGAAACTCTTACCCTTCTCACAGCTGTGACCCAGGTAGCCAGTGCCAGTGCAGTCACAAATGTGGCGGTTCCAGCCTTCGCTGCAGTGTCCCGCATTGGCACAAGTGTCTCTGGTGCACCTGATATGAGTCTCTCTGGTGCACAAGCTGCTGACACCTGTGGCGCTCTGAGCCTCCGCCAGTCTCCACAGGTTACGGCTCTGCCCGTCGACGAAGACATCCCTCATGCAGCCCACGTAGCCAAGGCCAAGGGAGGCTGTCCATACCTCAGGGGGGAGCATGAGGGCTTGGCGATCCTCAGGTAAACCTCCAAGATACATGTCCCCATCTAGATCAAGGATCTCACTGCCTTCATTAGCAGAAAAGGGGATGCTCTGGCTACTCACAGAGATAAAGCCTGTTGGGAAGGAATTAACAGTGAATCAATTTGTACTTCTACAATGTTTTTTGTTGCAAAAAAATGCAAACAGGTGTGTGTGGGTTTTGTTAAGTATGAAGTGAGAACAAACTGTGAGACTGAGTAAGTGGGCACCAGTCTGTTTTTTTTAAAGCATGGATAAAGAAACTGTACTGCCAGCCTGAAGGAGCTGCATTTGTGAGGACGCTAAAACTACAACTTACTATGGAAAAGTGTAGAAATATCAATGACAAATCTACATTGTCATATTACCCTGTTTGAGAAGGAAGGAATTTATACAACTGTGAAAGAAGTAGAAATAGACTTTTAGTATTTCCTTCTATTAATAATGCTGACATTTGGATTGTGCTAATTTGGAAAACAATTCCAAATTTGATACATACATACATACATACCGGTATATTAAACCTAATATGCATGCATCTTTCACTGCAGTGAATAAAAAGCAAAATGTATTCATGCTGACATGTGGCGACATCACAGCTTGTAACCTTTTCAAATCCACAGACAAAACTGGAGAAACATACCTGTACGCAGTCCGAAGGCTTCCCCTGCCCTCATAAATGCACATCATTGTCTTACCGTTTCGCCCATTCCTCTGGAAGTCCACATGACACCACTCGCCATCATCAAGTCGGGTGTTACTGGCTTTTATCTTGATACTCCCAGAGCCCATATCCATGACCAAGTAGAGAAATCCGTCCAGCAGCTCTATGGCAAAGAAGTCGGCCCTGGGCTTCCTGTCGGGGTGCGTTCCCTGCAGGCTGCCATGACTGAACAGCAGCAGGCCACTGGGCTCTGTGGTACGGAAGTCAAAAGATATGGCACCTGTCTTCTTTGTGTTCCACCTGGGCAGTGTCAAGTACGCAGACGGTGTGTCGAAGGTGACCGGCTCCAGGGCTTCCACGTTCTCACAGCTGAATATCAGGTCACCATGGATACTGATCTTAGGGTCTCGCTGTTCAGCCAGCTGTGACAGTTCCAGTCTAAACTCATTATTCTTGTAGACCACCTAATAAACGAGAGAGACGTATGTGATGAGATGATAACTGGACAGAGCAATACAATCAGTGCAAAGGCTCAATATTTCTCATTGACAAATAATGGGGTCGATATGACACAACAGCGTTCACAAGGATGTGCAGCAGGAAACATGTCGACTCATCCTTGAACCCAGAACTCAGACAGAACACGTCCTAGGGGTTTCATTTTTATTTCATTTCAAGAGTTACTGCATGTCAAATAAACTTTAGTTTGATGAATAACAAATAAGCAAGTATTGTGTCAAAGGAAACGTGCAGAACTGACTGCATTGCACTTCATTGGCACTGAAACTCAAAAGCAGATTGTTTTAAATTATTTATGAGACCAGATATTCTTCTTCACCACACCAAATATCTGCTTGGTTTTTTATCTAAATGCATTTCAGCCCATTTCAGAATGGCCTGAAATGCATTTAGGTTTAAAAGCAGTTACATTTTTGACATTTATCTGACTCACTTTGGAACTGATGATGGGCCCCACAGTAGAATAATCTTAAATTCAGAGCGGAGGAATCAGAGACACAGTATCCACACAATGACAGACGATTATGTGTGTTTATACTAAGTAAACTGGAAAAGATCAAGCCCAGGCGGAGGAAGTGGGTGGGAGAGAGATGGACTTGATACTTTACAAGCACAACACACAATTTAATTTTTTAAATAGGAAATTTTTGCAAGTTGCTTTAGTGTTCATTTTGAACTTTTGATGCAGAAGCAGCTAAACTGGCAAAAATGAGATTTTGCACTCCAGCTGCAGTGAATGTAAAACAGACATCCCCCAGTAGCAGCTACAGCAGCTACTGATTTGATATTTCACAGGAAACAGAATGAAATACAAAACCAGTTTTAAAAAGATACTTATTTATACAAACTAATACAATACCCTGTTTAAACCGAAAGCATCTCTCTCTGTGCTTGCTACTCTGTGCTTTTATTGTATAATTTTCGATATTTGTTCTGGGTTCATCAATATGCACCGTAGGAGACAACAATACTCGTCTCATTTTGCATCAGTGGTAAGTCACCCCAAGCCCACTGTTATCTGCCACATCACTCTGTGACCAGTCACTGCCTGAGGGGAGACACCATGCTGCACTAACAGTGGAGCTGAGAGGCAATGTGAGCCAATACCACGGTGTGACTAATTAAGCAGTGGAATCAGATGGTGAAACTGACCATTGAGAAGTGAGCATAATAGACAATTTTTAAATGGGAAGAGTCGGTCACAGAGAATGTGAACAGCGCATGAGCCGTGACACACAGACACTGGTTAATACTACAGCAGAAACACCGCACCTTCCAAAAACGCACACATAGATGGTGACAAAAAATGCGAGCTGTGACCACTGCAAGGCTTTTATACAAGTTGAAGAACAACGCAGGAAGTAGAATCCTATTTCATCAGATGCCTATTGTATGTGACAAGGATTACAGAGCATCCCAAGACACAAGAATGAAGCTGTTGTGGTGTTGACTGACAAAGCTCTCATAGTGAAGACCTCCTCTGATGTGCAAACACATTCTTCATAACAAAATTGGGTACAATATGTGAAGCATTAAGGCAGAGAAACCTAATGAGGTGGTGTGGGATATCCTGTGAGCATGCATACTCCAGACTAATACGCTGGTGACTTCAAAGACAAATTTATCTCTCGCTGCTAGTTGTTGTAGTTGTGACATTCATCTGAAAGTGCCCATTATTTTTCTTGTACCTGATGAACCTGATGGCCTCTATGCAGCAGCACTCACATCTATTATCATGTAGTGTCTAGAAAGATTAGTCATGGCCCAAACTCCATCTATTCAATAAAATAACACATAATCCACCTTTAAAAGATCCACTGTTTACTCAATAAATACTTTAGTCATGTCTCACTTTTCCTTCCCACATGGATTAAGATGAATACATAAATATATACTTCTATTCACAAAAGAGTTTGGTCCTTTAGTTCATTGCCAAACTCAGGGCTCTGACTCAGACTGACCCACCTCTGAACCTGGCTCCTGGATTTCCTGGTACACGTCTCATTTGATCAGCTCTGTTGCTGGCACCGTTCACCCTCATCACCGGAACTATCTGGGTTTATATTTCGTCATTCTTTAATGCATCATATTCTTCCTGCGTTCCTCGACAGTACATCTATGTGACTATGCACAGGTCTGAACACCACCAGCAGCCACACCGCCCACAGAGCGGAGGTTGCAGCATTGGCAGCGGTGCTGGGACAATAACCTGTCCATAAATAACGTCTTATTTTCATCTCAATGTAACCACACTGCAGAGTAATTATGTAGACACTCCATTTAAAAATCAATCAGCAAATGCTGAACAACTGCTTTCAAATGCTGATGTTATGTATTCTATTAACATATACAGCTAATATTATAACAAGCAGACATGCATTTTAAATGTATCTGTGCTGAAGAGTTTATTGGACAAAATTACATAGGTGTAGATTGAGAGACTCAAAAAGAACAAACCAGCAATAGCCTAAAACATTAAGCGAATTGCTAATGTCAACATTCTCACACTGGCAATGGCAACTTGCTTATGTTTAGCAGGTAATAGTTGCTTATTTATCAGATTTCATTAGAACCCATCAAGTAAAAATGGTGTTGAGACTTTTCATTTAAACCCATAAATGAAAAAAGGAAAGGTGAGGAGACGTTTTACCCATGACAAGGATATGATGTTGATGAAACAAAACTGGCATTGTTAGATGATACATGTAATTGTAATCTCCAGTCAATGTCACTGAAGGGTGACTAAAAACGGAGCTTGTAAATAAAACATCGTACTGCACATTTCTCAGCATGCATCCAAACCATCTTCCCAGTGACACCACACCAGAAGTGCACCCATGACATATATCAGGTATTTTTTATTCTGTCAGAATACAGCTTGTCCAAATGCCATACCCCCTTAAGCCCTGTGCTGGCCCACCGGATACTTTAAACAAAAAATACAACCTGTTTAAATGATTACATATAATCAACTTAACCACTCTGCAACATGAAGTAGGCATATTATCTCCGTTCTATGTACCGCGTTACTACAGCTTCCACGTTCATCAAGTGATGCATACTGACCCAAAAAACTGTTTTCCCATAAAGACTTTTTGAAATTAAAGGAGTGGTTGTGAAATAGATTTACTGTGAATACATTTTTACAAACTCTTTATTGTCAAAATTTGAACCATTAGATTCAGTATCATTTGGACTGAGTAGATGAGCTGTAGGATATTGTTATTTGATCCCATTCATGCGTGTGCATGGAGGCAAATGGAAGTCAGCTGGCTCAAACCGGCAGGAGTCTCAGCTCAATGCAAGTGCCCTATTGCCTCAAAAATGCAGAAGCGTTCAGTGCATCCAGGTCATTTTTATAGCTGGAATCTGGAAGCATTAAAACCTTTGTTGAAGTATGCACTACTGAGGAACTTTGAGAGGAATGCATATCTGAATATGAATACTGTCCTGTAATCTGGCATCCAGTTCATCTTTTGACATTCATGATCTCCACCTATGATTATACTTTTGCATGTCAGATCAGAAAATACACATGTGGACCAGTTTTGGTGGCTCATGAGCCACTGGTAGGACAGGCAACGACGCCCTCTACAGTGGCCAAGCTAACATAATTCCCTTTTTTTTTTTTATGTCAGTACACATCTGGAAGAATATTGTAGAAAGTCATCAAACTACCTTTAACCAATCTGTTTCTTTGCAGTGTGTCAAGTCCTCACTCCCATACAGAGCTGCTGCTGGTTATGCTTTGCTCCAACCTGCCGATGCTGTTACCACAGTAGCATAGTCAAGTTATTTCTACTGTGCTTGCCTTGCGCATTTTGTGCATCCTACAGAATTTATACAGTAAGTGTCTCCTCTGTCCTTGCTACAGTACACTGTACTCCCAGCTGAATCCCCTGCAGCTGGATTTCATGGGGAACAGAGCAGAGCCTAATAACAGTTTACTAGCATTTATGGAATAAATGGTCTTATATACTTTGACACAAAACTCTGACAGAAGAAAACTAATTTGTTTGAGTTGGGTATTGACATGTGAAACTGCTGCCTGTTCTAGTCACGTCTCCTCCTAACCTTTTCTTGCAAAGGTAAAGCATTTCTCCCACATAGCACATCATTTACTTTTGACGGGATGGCTCATTCCATTAAACATTTGCGAGGCTAGGCTGGAATTGGCCATTAACCTATAATTCACAACTCTGCCTAATGTCAATCTAGATGACTTTGACTTGTATGCTCAAGATGATCAGTGCGACAGGTAGAGGCCTGAGTTTAAATGCTTCATAAGTGCGGAAGTACAGACAATAACTGAGTTTAGACTGTGTTTCAGGAGTGAACATGAGAAGATGCATCTGTTTCTTGTGTATATTAGTGATGTGTTCTGAAAGGGATTCCCACGGGAATCTATAAATGCATATGCTCTGCACAGTACAGCTTCTCAGCTAAATGCTTCTCCTTGAAACACCCTACAACAAGAGAATCAATATAAATGATGGGAGTTTTTCTATATGCAGAACATGTTCTGCTTATACAGTAGGAAGGGTTAGCGCTGCTTAGAGAAGGTAGGATAACACTTCCAATCCTCTGCTGAGACCGGGGTCAAGCTGTACTCACATCTTTCAGACAGCCCATGAAGTTGTTGCTGACCGGGGAGCCTGGCAGGTCAGCTGTGTTTAGGCTGCCCCCTATGTAGAAGAGGTCATCAGAGCCCAGCATGGTGTAATCCTCCTGAGTGTAGCCTGTGGTTGTCAGAATCCCATCCACCAAGATGGTCACCTAAAGGAACCATTGAGAGAGACATGAAGAGATTTTAAGTTGAACAGAAAGAACTGGCCTAATTATTTCATGCTTCATTTCTTTATTCTAGTTGAGCTCGCCTTAATGTTGTCTCTTAAGGCAATTACAAAAACAGTTTTGAAGGGTTCACTGATCTCAGCTGATCCCTGATATACTAGTGGGAATGCAGTGGAGTCAATATACCATAAATATTCCTTCCACTGATATGTTGGCTCCAAAGCAACAAAAATGCTGTAGTACATTCAATTAATTTGAGATCAAAGCTATCAAGATGGCAAGCTACAGTAAATTACTTGTACTATTGGTAGCAACAAAACAAGATGATTTCAAAAGATCATATCAGTCTCATCAGGAGACAGAGACAAGGAAATGAATGGCTGAATTGGGCTATTGAGGAGAAAAATGATATGCTTGTTGCCATGACAATAAGCCTACAGTTAACATGTATTGTTGCACAAACGTATCAGCTCTCACTTCGGGGTAATAACTGAAAACAATTACATTTTTCTTGTGGGGGAAAATGTTTGCACTGCCTGTGATAAATTGCATTTGAGGTCAAGAATGAAAAATGATGGCTCCAACAAGGCGAGGTGCATGCATGTTCAACAATTCAGTTAATTGTTCTAATGATTAAGGCCATTCTCAATCATTTTATAAATCCATGGCTGAGCGGAAGGATATCATTCATGAAATTCAAATGATTAATAGCGTTTATATTTCTAATTTTTCATTTAGAATTCCAGTGAGAATTTACATTTTAAGCATTTGCATTCTAACGTGTTTAGGTACAATAAGCACTACAGATAAAAACGGGGTGATTTCTTTTAAAAAGGAAGAATGACAACAATAAAGGTGATGCTGAGTTATATTACTGGACAAGATTATGGATTATGGAACAACTACCCTACAAGATCTAACAGACCTTGACTTAAATAGATAACATTAGTGCTGTGGCCTCTTTCAGAGCAGATGGATCATTATCACAGTCAGTCTCAGGAAGCACAGAACACACACGCACACAACTTAAAATATGGTACTCATAATCCTAGCTGTGAAAATCAGAGTCTTGGACTTGTATCTCAAGAATAGCTTAACTTTGTAAAACCTATGGTGTCTATTCTGTGAAAAACACTGGTATGCTACAAGCAAGAGGACAGGAGACAAAAGAATGACCGGATCTGGTGTGTTCAAGTGTCAAGCTTCTAAAAAAAAGGTCCTGGCTTACTAGTCATCATTGTCTACTTCTTTGAAACCTTCACTATCTGGCTTGGACACTGGACAATGGCACGGCTTGACTGCATGTTGATGATGCTGCACACCAAGAAGCATTGAAAGTGCTTTCATGTCTGGAGTGATGCCATTTTCTCTTTCACTCCGCAACATGTAGAAAAGCAGAGGCATTGTCTAAGGTGTTACACTATATTCTGACACCCCAGATAGTTACTTTACTGGCATTTGAAAACCAGAGGTTAGGAATGAATGTGTTCAAATGTAATTATTAAATCAGGCAAAGGCGCCATTCATTAGAAGCACACAGCAGGATAATGTTCAGGCTCCAGTCTTCAGCGGTACATGTTGAGACTGACCTTTCATCGTAATTTCGCCAAGAATGCAGTGTAGCCAGGGTTACACAGAGCTCAATAAAAAGAAACATGCAGTATATTTATGACTACTAGTGTAGCTTAAGAGGTGCAGGAAGAACTGAGAGCAGTGTTTAGAAGGAGAAACAACAAATAATGTGTGTGTGTTACCGTGTTGTGTGCAGACCCATAAATAGATGGATGCATCATTAATAAGGGTCAAGAAAGGAGAGAGAATGAAGACCAATCAGTTTGCCCCTGACAGCAAAAGAAAAGAGAGATGGAGAGGGAGATAGTAACAGGAGGAATTCTAGCCTGAAAGGCACCAGCAGATCTAATAAAATGTTTCCAGCAGTACTCTCTTGGGGGTTACAGTTCCCCCTATCTTCATGTCAGTGAGGTAACTTATCTGAGGGGAAAGCAATTTACACAGGAATGAAATGCATGGTTAAAAGCATAAGTGATGCAAGCACTGGATTTTCTACAAGGAAACAGATGCAGAGGAGGATGCATAAGGGAGTTAATGTGATAGATTCAAAATGCATTGGTAATGATGAGTCCAGTACATTAGACACATTGCATGTGGTAAAGCTGACTGTAGAGAAAATGTTTAGTTTTGTTATGGTCGAGGTAAGTTCACTATATCAACTGATCACTTTGCGTGGCACACAAGGCTATGACAAGCTTTTGCCTTCAGAAGCCCAGTTTCCTCAAGCTGCCCATAAGTTACACAAAAATCAGCTATTACACATTTAAAGTTTTTGCCTACAATAAGGGACAGAGCTCGGCTACAAGATGACTGACAAGCTGTTAATGCTTCCGATAAGTGTCTCTACCACCTTGTGTCCTTCATTCTGTCCATCTGCAGTTTTGTGCCGGACACAGGTAGTGTACTGTTTATCAAAACCTTCTGCTGACTGCTAGTGGTAAGTGCTGAGAGTAAATTTGAAATTGAAAACACTCCAGGGACCTGCATAAATGGATATCTGTGGGTTTGTCACTGCAAGCAACCACTTTACATTACATTACTCTTAATCATTTATTCAGGGTTAATAAAAAAGTATTGATTAGTGGAGCTTTGAGGTACAGTATGATGGGACTAATTGTACACTGGCTGCAGAGTACCAGCAGGGCTACATTTAATGTAACAGATGCACCCTGGCAGTAAATTAGTTGTCCAGTGGACAATGCTAATGAATATGAAACCTAAGGGCCGAGCTGTACTTGGCTGGAGTACAGTAGACAGAGCAGTGCAATGTCAGACACATGCAATGGCTGTATTCGTTATATAAGCTCCACTTTTTCTTGTGTGCCCTCTCTGATACTGCTGCAATGCTGCATTTGTAGATACAGCCACAAAAAGTGGTTTTTGTTTGATGGAGTCAAATCTGAAAATCTGTATGAAAATTATTGTTCTGAACAGGCTCCAAAAATGTCAGCCCTGCTGCAGGAGAGATGAACACAATGGATGTTGCTGTACAAGTCTTTCAATAAGGTAAAAAAGACCTTTACAGAAATCTTGAGAGTGCAGAAAAAAAATCAGAATGCTGATTATAAAAAGACCCAGTGATTTCCACCAAAGCAATCTATTTCCTGAGAAAGAGGGCAATGACCTAGTATGAGCTTGCAATATCTATCAGGACGTGGAAATTGGGAAATGGGGCAGCCAGTAGAGCTGAAACATTACACATCCAACAGAACTGAACACAGTATTTGTTAGTGTTTACACTGATAGTGGACTATGAAACATAAACCCTACGCACATGAGACTGGTATTACCTTGGTATTGTAAGAATTATGATCCAAACATTAATGCTAATTATGCGTTTGTTAACTGCATTTGAAAGACTTCAGTTTAAGTGTAAGAGGACTTGAGTGTATCCAGGGATTAGTTTCTTTTCAACGTGCATGATTTTAGATTGATTGTGCCAGCTACTGACATGGCATCAATCAGTCCAGTTTTATTTGTACAGAATACCATCTTTCATACAAGGTCATGAAACTCGAAGTACTCTACATTTAACTGACAAGCTGATAATAAGACAGAACATGTGAAAATAGTAATTTGAAAACAACTTGAGACTAATGCACAGGGGGAAAAAAGTTATCATGACAGGTTCAGTAACAAGTAGCAGATGTATACAGACCTGGCGGAGGTTGCGCGTCACTCGTACATCATGCCAAATGTTGTCATTAAATTTTCCACCGGCAGGTTCCACCAGGGCCTCAAAAGCACCAGAGCCCAGGTTGATGACCAGCCACAGAGCGCCGTTCCTCAGGGAGAGGTTGACATAGTCAGCCGACTTCCCTGTGTGAAGGAGCAGGCCGTTCCTCTGCAGGGTACGGAAGGACAGCGTGATCTCATCCAAACTGCTCTGAATAGGCGTCTGGGACAGGTTGTAGCTGAAGAACTCGTTGCCTTTGAAGGTGGCCACTGACTCCTCCTGCCCTAAGAGTGGAGGAGAGACATCTTAGATAATTGCTTCAGTTGCCAAGTTAAAGTTTGACTTATCTACTGCACAGTCTATTCACTGCTTCAGTGACATACTGAGACAGAGAGGTTTTGGTGTACAGTATTATTTGATAAATAACTCAATATCACCAACTCTAATGAGAAGAAACCATGTAAATCTTTGTGGAGCTATTGACATATACAAAAATCACTGTACATTCTCATAGATGAACTTACTAGCAATAAAGAGTTCACATGATTCAGTGTGTTGTTTGCACATAAATCATGTTAGGTGACATTCTACATTTCTTTTGCAAACAAATGCCATAAGAAGACCAAACCAGCAATAAACTGATCCTACTAACAAGTATTTTCTCTGTGACATTTGTCTGGTGGGCTTCCTGAAGAATCAAGAAGTCACTGTGATGAGTCACTTCTGCTTTAAACCATATGGCACAGAGAGAAAAACGCGACAGCGATGTCGGCTGCTTTCTGACAAGGCTCGCCCAACTACCTGCCTTTATACTGTCACAGGATAAAAGGAAAACACCTACTGCTGATGTACTTAACAGAAGGGAAACATATACACTCCAGGTCTTAATTGTTCATCTTCGTTTCTTGCTTTTAACTGCTTTACTGTGTAATTAACCTATGTTACTTTATATGCATACATAACTTTATGTAAAAATGAAAATGTATAGCCCTGATTCCCTTTGGCAGATTTTGAGTAGGAAAAAAAATGGAGATAATTGTCACAAACAGGGGGAAAGTAAAGACAGACAGGCACATTGGTGGTTTGGGTGTTCTTATAAGATTTGGTAACAATAAGAAACTATAAAAAAAAAAAAAAAAAAAAAAAAAAAAAAAAAAAAACTGATATTGGTTTTGTCTATTTTATTGTTTTTTAGAATTTCACATATTAGCAACATAACTTTTTGTAAGCTACACAGAAAACTTTATCACCTTTGGTGCCGAGCATTTTAATTATAATACTAATAATGATACAATCAAATTCTTGATATTACATTTCATTCAACAATGAATGCACTTTACACAAAATAAAGTTTTTTAAATTAGAGTTTTTTTGACAGTTATTGCCAATACAACATGTTCAAGATTTTAAAAATTGCCTTGTACAAATTAGTCTGAATTTTAAAACTCCAAAGTATTTAGAAGCAAGACATAGATCTGGAAAACTTTTGAAAACATTACGGTGGCAAAAGGTCATTTTGTATTGTGATTTTTCTGACCACTCCTGTGGAATCTGTCTCTGACCTGTAGATTTGATAGTCCTAAATTATAAAACACACTGTATTATATTTTGTATCGTAATTTGCTAAGGCCTTGCACACACGTACAGTACATACAAGTGCATTAACACATTCTGACACCCACACCCAATATTTACAGTATTAAAACCCACAGTACAGGTTACATTTCTAGGATGACAGGTGTTGCCATTAAACTATTATTTTACACTGAACCACAGGGATATTGCTAAATATTGTATAACACAGTTCTTGAACTCATGAGTGGGCTGTTTCAAGCTGGAATAGACATGCCTTCCTTTGCTTGTTTGTACAGTGCAACCTCGGAGTTAGTGAGCAAGCTGTTTCTAGCTCGAAGGATAAGCTGTCTCTTATGGTTATTTATTTATTTTTTTATTTATTGTCGATAATGAATGTTGGATTTTGAACAATTTAAGCCAAAATGATCCATTTGCCCCATTAGTCTTTAGCTGTGTAGTTAACAGACAGCAGCTCATTCAACTATCACTGTTGAGCCTAAATGTGAAGTTTATCATTTGACTGATGTTGTAGGTGAAATGTAAACCCAAGTGCTGGTGCAGTCCATAAAGTGAACACTGAAGTCAGCATATTGTGGTTGAAAAATGATGATTCTGGCACGCCAGAAGGCCTTATTTAGCAAAACATGAGTGCTTACACTGTACATCCAGCGCATAACCCAAAAGGCCCAGTTAGCATTTAACCTAATATCTAAGAAAAAGATCATAAAAGAACAGTTTAACAAACCATTTTGCACCAAAACATGCACCCATCCTGTGGCATCTTTCTATCACTTCCAACTTTCCATAAGGAAAATGCTACCAGCAGATGACCCTGGCAGCAGGAAGGCAGTGGCCCTTTGTCTGCAGCACCAGTGTTCACCAGCTTGTGAAAAAAGCAGTAATGGCTGCTTTTGCTCTGACACCACACAGACCATGGTGCCAAGTTGGAGGAAAATGTCATCAGAGACACTGGCTACAGTCAGTACACCAGCTAATAAGAGATGCTGTTGGAGTAGTTTAGGACGTTATGCATGCTGCAGCTGACTGGATGGCAGAGCTCTCAACTGCACATATCAGCAGTAAAGAAGGCTCAGCAGAATATAATAGCCGCACCAAAAATCTCTACACGTCTCTCCTGCCTCTCCTCACACTGTCATTGACTTCCTGCATTGTACCATTGTCTGCCTCACGGTCTCCGTCTTACTAAAAAAATCACCCTTGCACCTCATGAGCTGAAACCATAAAATGCCCATCTAAATTCAGGACACAAATATTAGGGAGTCACTGCTAATGGCCAATGAAGTGAATGTTCACAGATACAAAATATGTGAGGAGCCAAAGACTCCTGGATGCCACTTTAACATTAGACAAGTTAACTTTCAGATAGTTAACAGCAGCTGGTGTTGCCCATGTCCAAAAAGGATTATCTGTAAAGTTATAGTGCCAAGAGCTATACATTAGCTGCCTACTGTCACAGTATGAGACACATCAAACACAGCAGAGAGACAGCCTCTGCCATCAAGTGAGAAGACATTATCTTCTATTACTTCCTATCAGCCCATCTGTTCCAGTCTGTTACAGTTAGACTGTGCTGAAGTGGCTGTACCACATGGAAAATGCAAACATGTGGGTTGTTCATTAATATTAAGCTTTACAGCTGATTAATTTCAAAGTGTTCCAAAAGCCCAGGGCCCAGATGGCAGCTGCTGACTTGGTCTCCTGCTCAGTGGCAGGGCAGCAGTTTACCTTCAGTGTGGAGGCACTCTAGGTGGTCAGGAAGCTACACCTGTGTCTGAATAATCAAACGATTACAGTACATGCGTATTTCAGTGCACACAAGCAATGAGTTCAGGGACTGAAGCACATGCACAAACAGCCACTCCTAAGTTTTCTAAAGTCTGTCAAAAGTTAATTAATTTAAGAATTGTGGGACTCTTTCCAGTGAGGGACAACTGTATTGTGTATTTGATTTGAAGTTATTTGTGGCCAAATAAACAAATATCAACTCAAAGGACTCTCTTGAGAATTCCCGCAGGCTAAAGCTGGAACACAGTCAAAGTTAACAACGAACGTCTGCTATGAATCAAACTTTGTCTCATGTATATCCCATGAAGTCAAATGTACAACACTTTGTCACTAATTGTAGCTGTGCTACACCTGGCGACCAATTACCAATTACCAATTCTTGCCCTTTAAAACACATTTACTGTGTCAACTAGTAAATATTTGCTATAGCAGCGCTATTCTAATCACTGTACATGAGTTGGTGGGAGCATAAAGTATCCAACTGCACTGATCTGTCGGAGTGAAGTAGGAGCTTAAATTGAACACTTTCTTTAGGCCTTGTGAAGACTGATTACTTTGTCTGAACATGAACAAGTTGCTCCCAAAGCGGGTAACCAAAGAATCTTAATTTGTAATGTCACAGTCATACAGCCTGAAGCTGCACCATTTATAGTGGGTGAAAAACTGGTGTAATTATATTGTGAGAAATTTGGAAGCCTTTTCATCTCCTATAAACGACCTCAATATTAGTGTTATCAGTTCTACACTAGAAAATGGACATGAGAACACCCAGGGTACTGCCACACCGTATTTTTTCATCTGACAGATTTGTGTTCCACTGGCGTGGCAACAATGTAATACACGTATAATATACAAAGCTATTTCAGTTTACATCGGCAAAGTATTTATTTCTTATTGATAAATAAAAAACTGAATCTGCTAATGAACAAATGTAGTGTTTATGTACCTGTAAAAAAAGGAGCCTAAATGATGACCAAAACAAACGTGCTTTTCTGATCAGATGAGTCATATCGGGAAACCCTGTGAGATGTTTATTTAGTCAAAGTTCATCCAAGAAAATATCTTCTGTAGAAAACAGTGGAAGTAACATTTTGGCTGTGAATAAAATGAGGATTTGAGCAGTGTATTATACTGTCAGTGGGTCATCAAAGCCAAGTCTCTGTTTAGAGACAACACTGATTGCCATGGAGACAGAATGGCAACTTTTATCTCAATCTCACCACATGTGGCAGAAAACACAAAGCATAAATAGCGCAGACTTCAGGGTCCCTAATATTCAGCCATATGCCTTACATTGCATTGGAAGAATGCTTTCTTACCAGGTTTTACATTGCAGTACTGTAGCTTTACTATAATTCAGATGCTATTCAACATACATCCATTATCTCTGCCGCTTATCCTGAACAGGGTCGTGGGGAGCCAATCCCAGCATTGGGTGAGAAGTGGGGTACACGCTGGACAGGTCAGCAGTCTATCACAGGGCTGACACTTAGAGACAGACAACACACCCACTCACTCCTACGGGCAATTTAGAGTCACCAATCAGCATAAGCTGCATGTCTTTGGACTGCGGGAGGAAGCCGGCGCACCCGGAGATAACTCACGCAGGCACAGGGAGAACATGCAAACTCCACATAGAAAGGCATCGGGTCGGCTGTGGCACCATGCAACCTGCTATTCAACATTTAAGTTAAAATAGTATAGTGCGTGTGCATATGTGTTATCCTTATCTGCATTACTGTGTCTGAATAAGACCAGGTACATCAGAGTAGCATCTATCCATGACTAGTGGTGTTAACAATGCATTGCGGAAATGTGACGGTATGAAAAAATGAAAAATTGATTGATCAAGTCAAAATCCCCATTTAATTTATTTGTTAAGGCAAGAGCAGGCAAAAGGCCAGATCTGTTTTCTTTTCCAACCTGTTGTTGACCGTGATCTTCATTAGGGTTAGCTACACTAGTCACTGGCCACACTCTAATCTAACTACACTCTAATCCACACAACAAGCAAAATGTTCAAATGAGAAACAAAATGTCTGAAAACAGTGCTTGTGGCTTTACATATGTAAGATGAATCGTTACACCCCTATCCCTAGCTCTTAATTTTTTGCTGGCAAAGGCCTGCTTTATAAAAATATCTCCTCGGTCAGTAGTTTGAAATCTCTTTTCATTATCTCACCTGTGCTTATATGAATATTTCACACACTAGTATAGCTATTGCAATCTAGAAATCATGTGTAGGAAATGTTATTTGCAACCCAATTATTATAAAAACCCAGTGACCACACATTTGAGAAATCAGCACAAAAGACAAAAGAATCCTAAAAGAGAAATTCTTCCGATTATACATTTTTGTATACTTCTGATTACTTTAACAGAAAAAAGTCTTTAAATTAATTTTTGTGTGGACCTAAGAAATATCTTTGGCATGAAAAATCTCTTTAATGTTTTATTACTCACACTGCTTTTTCCTTTGAAAACACCATGAAACTAAACCAAAGAGATGCTATGAGCATAAATGCATTACCTTGGCGAAAAACTGCAGAGGCCAAAGGTGATGTTCCCGGAGCTCAGTCAGTGGTCAGGACAAGGGTTTGACGGACAAAAATTGAGCGAGCAGTGAGCATAACGTGACAGGAAGCAAAAATGAATAGGCAAGTATGTGAGGAAAGAGGAGAGGAAATATTAGTGCAGCACAGGTAACTAAAAGGATTTCAGGGGAAGGGAAATGTTGTGATCAGGTGACTGGGAAGGAAAAGCAAACCAACAGACCCCATACCTTGGCGGTTTAACATCAGGTGCGCCAGACCTTGAGGGAAAGAACAGAAAAAGGATACGAAAACAGGAAGTTCATAAAGAGGTTTGGGAGAACAAAAGCATTGTCACAATGTTGGACTGCAGTTTGTGACAGACATCCTGGGGAAGGTACGGATGTCAAAGTTCAAACTGAAATATAAAAGGGAAATCAAACTAAAAACAGACAAACATCTCAAGGGAGGAGAGGGAAAGCAAGGAAAGAAAAAAACATCTTGATTGTGCAACCCTTAAAAGCAGTTGCTCACAGAGATGCTTTTTTCTAAATGGAACACATATTGTATGTTTTCTTGATGCAGACAGCGTTTGAGATGTACTATATCACTCAGCTCGACTTGTCTACATACAGATATCTTGCATGTGAGGCCAATGCAGATGAGTCTTTAACCTTCTTTATGGCAGCGCTTTATGAAAGGGCAGAAGTGACACCACTAAATCTCCTCATCCACTAAACCTTCAGCAGTATTTCATACCATTTCTCACTTTACCATGTAATAGAACTGAGAAGGTCTGGGGGTGGAGCCTGAGGAGTACACCTCTGGCATAATAATGTAACAACCATCCCATAACCAGCCAGCAATGTTCTGACACACCTGATCTTTCAATTTTGGAAAAAGCAACAGCTGAAGGGAGCTGAGATCTGATACTGCAGCACCTTAAAGCCTCACTGACTTTAAACCATCATGAAATGGGTCAGCCAAGAAAAACATGTAGCATCCCACCACCATATTTTGTCAAGTTCAAGGTGAGGGGATTAGCCCAAAGGTGCTGAGCGCACGGGCCAACACATACAGGACATATGGTGCAACTCCTCTACACAGTGAGAACAGCAGACCAACTCCTAATTAACATAACATATTCCTGGGCTGCTGGTATTTGCACAGTTGCAATACTCTCTCACAGTGCTGGAATCAAAACAAATGGAACTAAACTGAAAATGCACTGTGCACCACCTCTTACTCAGACAAATATCTCAGTAGGTCATCCAGAAATCATATGCCATGCCTCACCTGCTCCCCTTGGCAAATCGAGGATGGGGATGACACAGTGCAACTCCACTGCTGAAGAGATGAGCCCTGTTGTGCCAGCCAACACAAACAGCTCTCATCAGTGCATCAGCACTCTAATACTCTCATATAGCAAGTCACTCTTGCAGAGTTCAAGTCCCAGTTCAGTCATTAGATACAACCTTATGAAGGGGGCAAGTCACTGTTGCACAAATCTCCTCCAAACGTTCCGCTGAACAAGGCTGTTCGTGCTGTAAGCTTCAGTGTGGAAAGGACCGGATTACTCCTGGGATGGTCCTTGCCTGCCAACACGTAGGCTCTTTGATACAGTGTGCCACTGCAAAGCCAGTGCCTGAGCCTCTGCTTAGACAGGATTCACCCACAAACCTGTCGACATAGCAGAACAAAGAGCTGCTGTGTGCACTCCCATTGTGGCTGTGCATTCTGCATGACAAGCCAACTTACGTACACACAAGGCGTAAATTGTGGCACTTCTTCCGCTTCTCCTCACCACCCATCAGATTATCTTATTCTCACTATACATAGTAAAATATGATGGGACTTGAGCTCACGCATCATCTTCTGCGGGTGTCTATATCCTCAACTCATCCTTATGCTACTGTAGCTACTTAGCAAATGTATGACATGGAGGCAGTAACAAGGGGGGCTGCTTAGCATTAGCTCAGACAAAGACACCCAACAGTGCCAGGTACTGCAGGAGGAAGAGCTGGAAACATTTTTCCGGGGGAGGGGGGGCCCATTAGCCAACTAATAAGCAGAAGAATTCACAAAGCCAGAAGCCATTGCTTCATCAAGCAGGGAAAAGCCCTGTCTAACCCTTCACTCCAGTAATTTTAGTGTAGCTGGAGGAAAGAGCTTTGACCCGAAAAATGCACAGCCACGATGACCCCACATACTTCTGATTTTTGTCGAGCACTGGGGTGAGGAATACTGACCTGCAACCCTCACTAATCCATCTCTGGCTAATGGAGACGGATGCTGGTGAACAAAACATGTCGGGGCAGGCAGCACTTAACAAGTGCCTCAGCAAACGACTTTGACTTTCACTATGTAGTTGTCTTTCAAGAAAGTTCAAGAAAAAACTGGATGTGTAGAGCTGCTGTTGTTTTAGGGCAGCAACCAACTGAATATGCTCATCCTACTTGGCTGAGCCTGACATCCAATTTGCACAGTGTGGAAATGCAGATATACCTGTACAGCTCCATTACAGGGGCAAGCCTGCATGAAGAGAAACCACCCTTCAGTAATCTACTAGTTTTATATTTTTAAATAAGAAACCATCTTAGCTTGATAAAAATGAGTTTCAGGGCAAACAAAAGTCTATAACCAGGTGATAGAAGCTCATTTTTATTAAAATCTTAGCATGCTGCTTTTAGGACTCCTTTGACTTGGCCTTTTTCTGTAATGAAGGAAATCAAAAGCCCACTGTTGTAGTCTTGAAAAGGACTGATTTACTTTGTGGATGTGGTGTGATTTCATCATGACACTCCATAAAGGACTGTGAACAGCTATCATCTGTTAATACTACTAAGCATTTGCTGTGCATACACACATCTTTATCCATCTATATCTGCCGACCTCAAATAAATCAATAACTGTACAACACAACGAAACTGTTTTCAGTCCACCAAGCATATTGCACCTCTGGCCACATCCCTTAATGACATTAAATGCTTCCAAATAAAAAAAATAAATAAAGAAGAGAATTTATATTAGTGTAGCTGCTAAAGACATATTAATTTCATTAATGGTTCTTTTTTGTTTATGACACTATGAAGGTTTGGAAATACTTCTAAGAAGACAAACACTGCTAGTTGGTGTGTTTAACTAAACACACAGTGAAAAAACAAATGCAGATGTTTTAGGAGTTCCCAGTCATAACACTGACATTAATTAGCAAACATCTAAGAAGAAAGAACTATTGCATAAGGATTTAAGAACTTTTATTCCATGAAAAGTACAGTATTGTAGAGTCTGTTGTAATGAGGGATTAGACCAAGGTCACTTCTGTTGAAAGATGCAAGACCACAAGGAGCAGCTTTCTCACTTTTGATGGTTTCTCTACTTACTTTGCATGTATTTGTAGCTCTTAGTGTGTCATTAGTGTGTGGTCACAAATAAATATCTGAAAATAAAAAAAACAAACAATGACAGTGTGTTGGTACTTGGCATGTGTGGGCTGTGAAAGGCTTTCCTATACATTTGAAAGATTGCTCTGTGGTCTGTATCTGTCTTGTGTGGTGGCTGTCCTTATCTCTCATTCACAGACCTGTTTTTTTCCCCCCCTCTCACAAAAACATCAGAGGATGCCGGACTCTTTTTCATTAGAGCATGCCACACCATGCCCTTTGTCCGCATGGGTCGACGGGAGCCCACGTGCTGCATACTGTAGAAGAACTCAAGCAACTCACCTGCAGTGCCAAAAGGTTTTCACTGTCCTAAAGCAGTTCCTCAGACAAATAAAGATAACTCCTGCACCACTTACAACCCATAGCCAAGACCAAATATAGCATATGGGTTACCATCTTTGCCACCTCTGGGAGGAGGAGGAGGAGGAGGCAATTTAGCTAATGCATAGATTCATCTTGTTGCTGCCAAACAGCTCATGAAGTGCTTTATATGTAGTGTTGCAGAGACATCTGGGGAGTATGATTTTGCTGTTGTCACTGTTGTTTTCAAGCACTGCGTGTTGGGGATCGTCTCCATGTCAAGCTTTAATCCAATAAACGTTCTGATGTGCTCTCTTTGCAGCATGCCATTTAATAATGCCTGCCAGTTTGCTGTGAGCAGAGCCATACTATATTTGCTCATATGAAGAATGATTAATGTGGTTTTGGAAATAGTGCAGAGATGAAACCTATTAACTATTACTGGAGCATATTACAAGCATATAGTACTGTACCACAGTCAGCAGGTATTTCTTATTTTAAATACAACATAGAGATACCAAAATATGTTCTACCTCTAAAAAAAAAAACATTGTAAATACCCATATTTATGTCATTAAATCCATTCTACACTGATATGCTTGTATTGTGCACAGCAATATTAAGAGACTATACATGAAGACAATAACATTTTGCAATCTTCGGTCTGTTTTGCCTTCATACAATTTCGTAAAGCAGGTGTGCATAGGCCTGTGCATTTTGAGTCAGTAACAATGATTTATAATGTGCAGTGGTTCAGTGCACCTTGTGCGGGTCTCCAGAGCCTGTTGGCTACCCTTTCACCAGAACCAGCAGTACTTACTGGGGAGATGGATGCCTCGCTCTGGAGCAGACTAAACAAATCTCCATTCTCACTTTCAATCTTCATTTCCCATTCTCAGTATATGCACCTCATTAGAAACCAATAAAATATTGCCAGTAACATTAAAAATGCCCCTTTTCCTGCCAAAAGACATTTGTTCCTCTTAAGAAAATAATCTGAAAAAAACATCATTATGTAAATAATGTTACAATTTGACAAATGTCAAGGCTTCATATTCAGCCGTGTTGCGCTGGAGGATTTGTGCTGTCAAGTCTGAGTCCGCACATTGACCTTAGAGCACAATGGCATAAAGGATTTAATAAAGACTTAACAGTAAACAGTAGTTTAGATGAAAATATGCACCGAAGGCAGAGGGAAAATACAGAAGTTAGAAATAATAAAAGAAAACATCTCTGTACAGTCATTTTCTCTGTGATGCAGTATATGAATGCTCCCCATATTGTGCAACACCCACATACACTGCAGACCTCTCCAGTCACCTTGAGCACACTGATTATATATACAATGAGCATTCAGAGCATTAAGCACCTTTTGCTTTGCGACCTCATGACCAGTGATAGTATATCTCCCTTCAGCTTAATTTGTTGGATGTCAGAACTGCAGTCCAAACTGACAATAACCAAACATACTCAGGCACACTGATGCTGTGGTAAAGGCTTTTGCTAATAACAGCATCATGAAAAACTAATTATTATCATCCTTATGCTCATAATATAATGCACTGTCTTACCTTCTACTTCTTTCTGGACAGCTGTAGGACAGTAAAGAAAAACAGACATGTTTAATGTAGATTCATTCATTCACAGCTTTAGCGTTCAAAAGAGCCTGACAGAAAAATGCTTTCAGGTATTCTGATATTTAAAAGCCACGTTCGCTTGAATGTTATAAAACAGTATCACTTTGCACTTGTAGGTTCACTGTTTAGCTATAGCATTCCCAGCTCCTTTATCTTATTAGGCAGGAAGGTTCACTACTCTAACCCATACGGAGGAAGGCTGCAGAGCTTCCAAGCCAAACATTTACTAATGACTACCATTTTAAAAAGAGGAAACTTCTTTTGGCAAAGTGTTAATTAATCACTTCCAGTCTCTCCTCTATAAAGTTCTGTAAAGTTCACTTTAAAATGCCAAGGTCTTACTGTTCCTTGTAGACTTCCCAGAATGAGAAAAAGACATCCATTTCTAGCAGCCAGTGAAAAGTCTGTGTGTTGAAAACAGCTGTCACATTAGGAAGCCGTTATTCTTTATGACTTATGAAGATAATTGCTGAGACTGTAGACTCAAGTAGCCTTTAAGTACTCCAGAAGCATACTTTGACCTGGATCCCTTTAAATGGGCTTTATTGATTATTCTCTGGAGCTCATTAAGTATGTATATGAAGAATAAGATATTAATAATATATTTTAGCCATTTAAAAGCCAAATGATTTCAGTAAACAAAGTACCAATGGCATTACAAAAAAAAAAAAATCTGTGAATGAATTACACAGTTACTGTAGTTGCATAAAAATGTCCAGCATATCACAATTTTATATAAAAACAATGTGCATTTAAGTGTTTGCTTGTTGGCCAGTAGTGGTCAAGTGCTTCTTTTATATGTGACCCTTTGCAACTTGCAATATTAACCTATATATTAATATATACCAATATTAACCTGCCTCCATTACAACTTTAAAAAAGCAACAGATTATCTATTAAAAGTAAAAGGTGTCTGTCCCCAACTCACAGAGACTAAAAATACATTTTGTGACAAACAAGCCAAAAGATGACATTTTACGTACCTTCGTGGCAGTACCTTCCCCTGTAGCTGGTATTGACACAGTCACAGATGACCTCTCCCTGGCTGACGGAGCACAGGCCTTTGTTGCTGCAGGGAGAGTGTGTGGCACATATGTACTCCAAATCACTATGAACAGCTTGTCCATCCAACAGCACTGGTAGTGCCTCTCCGAGTTTCAAATTGACTATAAAGCCCTGGAACGGTGGCTCATATTTAACTGTACTGGATGTCAGGGCAGAGAGACGCACATCAGGTGAGATCCCCCCTACGTAGAGGTCGCTGGCCACCACCATCTCTTTTCTCTTGGATTTCACCTCAGCAACTTTCTCCTCACTGTCCACCACTAGCCTGGTCTCTCTGTAATTACGGGAAAGAAGAATTCGGTGCCAGCGCTGATCGTTGATCCGCGTCTCTGTATGCAGAGATGCTGGTTCAGCGCAATGGATGGTGAAGCGCATCTGGAGCCTCCCGTCTGCAATTAGAAGCTCCAGGAAGTCACAGTTCCCTCCATCATCCAAATACAGCACCAGGGCTTTGCTGATGCTGGTTTTCAGAATAAAGCTGAGCTCACCTGTTGTTTTAGCATCCCACTGACCATAGCGTGTCCACTGACCAGGAACCCCCTCATATTCCAGAGCCATTCCTCTTAGCACTAACCCAGCTAACAATAGTAACAAGGAAGCCTTGCTTTTACACCTGCCCATGATGATTACTGTCTACAACTGTTTTGCTCCTCTGTGGTCTCTAAGTCATATGCATCCAATATGACCGTGAGAAGGAAATATTATCTGTGTCTGTGCTTCTTTTGTTATCACCCTAAAAGTAGAAGCAATAAGACTGCAACATCCAGATGCAGTAAAAGAGTCTCCTTAGCCTCGACTGTCTATCCAGATTCTTTTTGCCATCTCTCTGTGGGTGACATGTGACAGAATGAACAAATGAGGTGCAACGCAGAATACTTTGCATCTACTTTGGATCGGCTGAGAAAGAGAACAAACAACACAAGCGATCCACAATACTGTGTGCTTCCTCGTCTTCGCCATCCAGTGTCTTGGCCTCCATCCAGCAATGTTCCTGTCAGTTCTCCATGGGTTAGCTAGGCATGCAGCCTAGGTGCACCCTCCACTCTCAGCCTCCCAACATCCTAAGACATAAAGAAGAATGTGTAATGAGTAGCTGGAAACTAACAACTGATTAAAAACAGTAAAATGTCTTGTTACAGTACAGTTGTTACAGTATGAATAGCATGGCAAATTTATTATATAATCTAACAAATCACTGAAATTGGTAGACAGGGAACACAGAGATGGGAGTGACTGATTGTTATGAGGATTAGAAAGTCTGCAGTTAGTGGCGATGCACATTTATACATTTAATATACAGATAACTTGTTGTTGACTGTTACTTGGCCTAGAGATTCCAGCAACATGTATGATGCTTTGGCCAAGTAACATATCAGTGCTGGTGCCCTACCTCATTTCTTCAGGCAGAAAGAAAAACAGAGGGTCTCTCACTAGTTTGCTGAGAACTGTGTTGATTTCCAAGAAGCTTCTGGGGAAAAGAACCCCCACAGATGTTTTGGTGCAATGCATGGCCTCACTAACTTTAGTGATGTTGAGCCCCTTAAGCCCTCTGCACTCCTTTGGCTCAAGCTAAGCAACACATGCAGGCTGGATGCTGGGAGTGATGAACAAAAGAAGAAAGGAAAACTTCAGTATACTGTACAGAGGAGGGTCTGCGTCCCAGCCCCAAGGACACGGACACCATTCTTTGTCTAAAGTGGGAACCTGTCTTGACTCATCAGAACTACCATTCATGCTAAAAGCTACGACTGCTTTCAGTCATCCTGTGGAACTGTATCTGAGGAAACTACACATACATTATATACTGTGTACTAAGAGACAAAATCTGTATTTAAAGGACAACGGT